AATATCAAATCCAATTTAAAAAATTTAACGCCATTTTTAGATAATAATGGCATCTTGCGTGTAGGTGGGAGGCTGCAAAATTCTCATGTGTTATATAGCCAAAAGCATCCCATCATTTTACCAAAAAGCAATTATATAACTGATTTAATAATAATTAGAGAACATTTAAAATTGCTTCATGCAGGACAAAAACAAGTAATTTCTAGCTTAAATTTAAAATTTTGGATTATCAATGGGACCAGAGAAGTTAAAAAAGTAATACACAAATGTGTTATTTGTTTTAGAGCAAAAGCTAAATGTTCAGATCAGCTTATGGGTTCATTACCAGAGAAAAGAGTTATAGCTGCAAAACCATTTTTACATGTAGGTATTGATTTTTGTGGACCTTTTCTGATCAAACAATCAAGGCTAAGAAAAACATTAGTTACAAAAGCTTATATAGCATTGTTTGTGTGCTTTGCGACTAAGGCTATTCATTTAGAGTTACTTTCAGACTTGACAACTGATACGTTTTTAGCTTCATTTAAAAGATTTATTTACAGAAGGGGAAAGCCCACACAAGTATATTGTGATAATGGTTCAACATTTAAAGGTGCCAGAAATGTTTTAAATGACTTATATAAGCTTCATCAAAGCAAATAACATAAAGATAAAATTCAGAATTTTTGTTATGAAGAACACATTACGTTTCATTTTATACCGAGTTATTCTCCAGTGTTTGGTGGTCTCTGGGAAGCTGGTGTAAAAAGCACCAAGCATCATTTAAAAAGAACAATGGGAATACATCAATTAACATATGAACAATTAAATACCCTAATAATTCAAATTGAGGGAATATTAAATTCAAGGCCTATCACGGCAATTAGTGCAGATCCTTCAGATCTTTCATATCTTACTCCAGGACATTTTTTAACTGGAGGAATCATAACTAGTTTTCCTGAAGAAGACATCTCAGAGGTACCCACAAACAGAGTAAAATTTTGGCAACTTTGCACCCACATGCAACAAATTTTTTGGAAAAAGTGGCATATAGATTACTTAGCATTACTTCAAAGCAGACCCAAATGGCAAAATAATAAGCCTAATGTAGAAGTGGGAATGCTAGTTATTCTAAAGGAGGAAAATACTCCTTCGTTAAAGTGGCCAATGGCCAGAATTACTAAAGTTATTTCTGGTAAGGATGGAAAAATCAGGGTAGTAGAGGTTAAAACAAAAGATGGAATTTATTTAAGATCAATTACAAAAATAGCGGTATTGCCCATTTGCTAAATACAATGTTTTAGCTTTACAATTAAAAAAAAAAAACAAATATGTATTTTTACTTTGTTAATAACAATTTTTGTTAAGAATTTTCACTTTCTGATGGTCTCTATAAGACCAAATTTTTATTTGTAATGGTCTCTATAAGACCAAATTTTTATTTGTAATGGTCTCTATAAGACCAAATTTTCATTTGTAATGGTCTCTATAAGACCAAATTTTCATTTTGTAATGGTCTCTATAAGACCAACTTTTCATTCGTAATGGTCTCTAAAAGATCACTTTTTTTTTGGTAAGGTCTCTATAAGACCAACTCCTCATTTGTAGCTAGTCTCTAATGACTAAATATTACTGTTATAAAATAATTAATATTTTCTACTTTTAACAATATTACGTTACTTTTTTGTATATACTCTGTAAATAGTGTATAGGTGTGTAAGTTGAGTTTATTTCTGGTGCACCGGACAGTTTTCTAATTAATTTAATTTGAAAAATATTTCTTTTTATACTAATTTTAGTGTACAACTCATCAATTTGTACCTATAATATTAATATATTTTTTTTTGTTGTGCTTCCCCAGCATGTTGGAAACTATCCAACACAATGCAAATCTAGGGAATTATATAATTTACCATTGGCAATTAGAACTAGTGATAGTTAGACTAGTAACTTATTTCCTGCTAGTCACATATTTCCACTTAGTGACGTTATTCATATTTTCCGCCATGTTCAACTACATCAAGTAACAAAAAACGAGGCAGGTAGAATTGTCATGATGTTATGTCATTAATTTTATATATCTGAAAGCTTTGTAAATTAGAATTGTTATTTGTAAATAAACCATTAAAAATTCAAACCATTTTCTTTATGTAGTTATCTACATTTAGGGAAAACGGACATGTAAAAAAACAAGTACTCATCGACAAACTGCCCTTAGTGAAGATATCAAAATAAATGTACTAATCTCTGTTCAAGAAAATCCTAATATCTCTACCAGGCATATATCTAATGTTGAAATTAGCCAGTCGTCAGTAGCACGAATTTTTAAAGCCCATAAATTGCATCCTTACAAACTTACAATCCTGTAGGAATTACTGGAAGATGATCCTGATAGAAGACTGCAGTTTTGTGAATAAACTAGACACGAACAACATTCTAGTAGAGAACATTGTGTTTTCTGATGAAACTACGTTTATGTTAAATGCGGAGGTAAATCGACAAAATTGTCGATATTGGGCGGATGAGAATCCACGCTGGATGAGGGAAGGCCATACTCAACGCCCAGAAATAGTGAATGTTTGGGCAGGGATTGTAGGAAATAAAGTTAGACCTTTGTCTATCTGATCACTATTCTCAATTTATTGATGTCCACACAAGGAATTTATGTCAAAAAAAAACAAAAAAAAAACCAGCCGTTAAATATGTCTTGCGTTCATATTATGAAAATAACATAGAATATTTTCATAATCTATTAGGGGCTGTAGATTGGACTAGTGTTTTGGATCAGACCTGTCCCAATTTAGCTTATGATCAATTTGCGAAAATTGTTTTATCCTATTTTGAAACTGCCTTTCCAAATAAGTTAGTTACACGAAGACCCGAAACTAAAAATAAAAAGCCTAATAATAACTATAGGTGAAATGCAGATTTATTGGAATTAAAAAATAATGTGTCATTATATAATACTTTTGCTAAGCACGATCGAAGATATGTTGCAATTAGTAAAATGTTAAATAATACTTATAAGTTTAGGTTAGAACAGGCCTCTAAGCAATACTATGATAATCTCATTTTAAGCTCTGAAAATAAGACTAAAGCTACCTGGGAAGTGATTGGGCAATTGCAAAAAGGCAACAACAATCAAATAACTAACTTATATTATATGATCAGGGTAACCAGATAATTGATTCTGACTTGGCAAATAAATTTAATATTAATTTCACTAAACCCCCATAGATAGCTTAGTTTGTAACGTAGAATTTTTAGAAATTTTAAATAAAAATATTACATATAATAATAATAATAATAGTACATTATATACCTAGGGTGAGAAGTGAGCTATTATTTACCGAACACTTTTATATGTGCGATCAATATATGTTGCCGAGCGTGCTTCTCATGAGTATAACATAAGAAACAAAAGCCAATTACTAATACCTAGACATCGTACGGCACTTTTTGAAAAGAATCTAGAGTATATGGGTTGTAAATTTTATAATATCCTTCCAGAGGACATAAAGAACAACAGTAATATCTTCACTTTTAAGTCTAATGTAAAAAAACTTTTATTAGAGAAAAACTGCTATTCCATAGAAAAATATTTTATATAATAATTCATGTTTTTGTTAGGTATATTTTTTTTTAATTTTTTTTTTAGGTATATAATTTTATGTATTTTTATAATTACCATGACACGATAAACTTATAATTTTTTTGTACAATTTTCTTATAAGGTGAAATCAAATAAACAAAAAAAAAGTTATAGGACCAATATTCTTTGCCGAAACTCTCAATGGAGTACGATATTTGGAATTCTTGCAAAAATAATTAGTGCAGCAATTGGCTAATTTGTTTTAATTCCATATGTACATGCTAATGGTGCGCCTCCCCATTTCGCAAGACTTGTTCGTAAGTATTTGCTGTATTTCCAGGCAGGTGGATAGGTAGAAGGGAACCTATTGGACTTTTTTATGGTGGTATTTGAAAAGCAAAGTTTTTTTTAATGCAAATGTTGAGGAACTAAAAGCACGAATAAGAAATGAGTGCAGATTAATTTCGCCCCCGGTCATTAGAAATGTTCAAAACGAATTTCGATCGCGTTTAGGATATTGTCAACTAGTCAATGGACAACATTCTGAGCATTTTCTTAATTGAAATAATTAAATTCAGTAGAGTTGATTACTTATTTTTCATAAATTTGTTACTTTTTATAACCTTGTAATTGGTAAGGAATAAAAATTTGATATTTGGCAGTTTTGTACAACTTTACAAACCCTATAAAACTAGCCATCAAAATGAAGTGCTGCCATTTAACAATTTCAACGATGACGTCATATCGTCGATCTAAAGCACACATATTGTAACTCCAAATTTAATGTTATAACGATCTTGGTACCAATTCGCATTTTAGCCTTATTTTTTTGGGCACAAACATTGTAGCTCCAACACCCACCAAACTACAATAAATTCAAATTTAAAACTGAGAATTAAGGCATTTAATTACACTTTCTAGTACACTTAGCTGAAGTTTAAATTTGCGATTGTCACAAAATGGGTTTTTGGCTTGGAGATACGATAGGTGTGCTTTAGACCGACGATATCTCTAAATTGGGATACCCTGTATACATTATTATTGTATGTAAAAATCGCGATTGGAAATAATAATAGACGGGTCCGACCTTACAAAAAAGTATTTGAACTATTGAATTTATTCCAAATTACAGACTCTCTCTGTATATTTGATATCTTTACAGAAAAATCATGTGTTGGACACAAAATATAATGACACAACCAACATGTTAGCTTTTCCAAAACACGAGAATCATAGGCACAAAAAACGGACAAATTCTGACGGATGTCTGTAAAAATAACATTGTCACATTAAGTCAAATCCTATTAATAAATCTAATTGTTTCCATAAGTCCTTAGGCAGTAACAAATACACACAAAAAGCGTGAACGTTTATTCTAGAATAAATTCGAGACAGATCTTCAAATAGAAATTAAATTTTTTTCTTGCAGAAAACGGCACTGACGAGTCATCAAGTTCTTCAAAAAAGCACGAAGAGAGAAGCAGTAGTAACGTGTCTGAAGATTTTGAAAAAATCGATGTATCCCAATTAGAAAAGCAAATTGATGATATTCTAGAACAACCTGCACCTCTGGAACAAAGCGTTTTAACCGAAATTAAACAAGAGTCTATAAATATCGAATATCCCGAGCCTAAAGAAGAACTATATCTTGAACAAGATAGTTTAAATACCATTGCTCACGAACTCGATAACACATATTTCACAGAACCAAAGGAAACATTATTTGTGAAACAGTCTTCAACACAAGAACAAGAAAAACCCGACGATATTAAACCTGATTCTTCAAGTACCCAATATATAGATTCTAAAGAAAAATTATACGAAGTGCCACCGTTACAATTTCAGCAAGAAATTGTCGATTTAAAACAGGATTCTCTAAATTTTGAATTAGAAGATTCTGAAGAAGAATTAGCTCTAGTAGGACAAAAAAGTATCGACGATTTAAAACAAGAATTGTTAAATTTAGAATTAAACGAGCCTGAGGAGGATTTAACTATAATACAGCCTCTTAAGCAAGAAACTATCAACGACGACACTCAAGCAATTTTAGAAACAGAATATATGAAGCCTTTGGAGCAGTCCGAAACTTTTGGGCAAATAAAATTAGACGAATCATTAAATGAAAAACTCTTAAGTACTGAAAGCGAAGTGAAAAATACTCATCTTGAATTCGTGACGGATAAGGTACAAGAAGAATCACCAGACAAATCTTCAATTATTAAAAAAGTTAAACTGGATACAGTTAAACAGGAAATAGAATTTGCAGAATCATCGCCTATTAAACAGGAGCTAGAAGAACAATCGACATCTCTTAAACAAGTTAAGTTGAATGAAGTTGAACAAGAATCCATAACTCCAGAATCGCCAAAGGTTAAAAATCAAGAAGCAAATCTAACACACTTAGAGGATAATCTACCATTGAAAGCCATGTCGAAACCTGATTTAAGCATAGAAACATCTGAAGCTAAGGTAAATGTAACTAGTAATTGAAACACATTTTCACACTTTTGTCCTAGCATTCCATGTCATATACGCCCACGTAGTAGTCCTTTGTACCAGTCTGAACATTTTTATAATATCATTGATGTTGAGTGAGCAGGGTTGCCAGATTTACGTGAGGGAAAAGCGTGACGACGCCGAGGTGGGACAGCAGGGGGGATGAAAGGATCAACTTTCGTTTAGCCGTAATCTGTTATGCAAAAACTGTTGTCATGATAACAATTGTGATGACTATAAGTAAACAATAATCTCATGGTGAGGAAATGCGTAGTTGCCAAGTTGTAGATGATTGCGGTTTTTGTTTAGTTTCATTTAGCTGAAATCACTAAACAAAAATCCAAATCTCGTAGTGAGGAAAAGCATAGTTGCCAAGTTATAGATCATTTAATGTTCACTTTAGTTTAGCCGAAATCAGTTATAAAAAACTTGCCATGGAAACGCTTGTCATGTCAACGACTAAACAAAAACCCAAATCTCGTAGTGAGGAAATGCGTAGTTGCCAAGTAGTGATTAGTAGCGTAGCGTGATCTTATGCTGCCGTCATACGAAAAAACCACGTATTCGACAAAATCTTATATTTAAGAAAATGGAGAGTAAAGATTTAAATTATAAATACATTACAAATACATTTTTTCAGACAACTACTTTTGGTACCTAAATTTACATACAAAAAAAGCTAATAAATGAGAATAAAAAACTATTGATTAAGCAAGAAATTTCCGTTTTATAACAAAAAAATTAAAAATACGGCATATTTAAATGGAAAAAATTTTTGTAATACTAAACAACAAACACGTAATTACAATTTGCTAAGGAAAAACTACGTATAACGTGCATATACGCAGTTTTACCTTCGAAAAATGTAAATATAGGAACTTCTGCTTGTAGTTAAGGTGATTACAGCATCCTCTTATAATTTTCGGACAAGGATATCTCAAAAAGTTATTTTTTTAGAAAATTTCAATTTGGGCAAAATAAATAAGGCAATAATATCTAGAATATGCATATATTTTAAAGTTTTAATTCCTTCCAGTTTCCGAGAAAAAAAATCAAAGGGCTTTAAATTTTGAAATATCATAATGAAAATAAATGCATTCCTCAACAGCACTATTCCCACTAATCCCCAAATTTAAGCTCTTAATCTCTTGTTAATGATTTTTTAAAATTCGTCGAAATTAGTGGCTAAAATGCCTCGTTAAGTACTTCTTTCTAGTGTAACGCGTCTGTAACTATCGTATCGTACACTCTGAGTCATCATTCGTTTCTTGCAACGATTTACACTAGTTTACACCAGTTTAAACCAGAAAATAGCACTTAACAAGGCGTTTTAGCCACTAATTTCGGCGAATTTTAAAAAATCATTAACAAAAGATTAAGAGCTTAAATTTAGGGATTATATTAAGAATAGTGCTGTTGAGGAATGCATTTATTTTCATTATGATATTTCAAAATTTAAAGCCCTTTGATTTTTTTCTCGGAAACTGGAAGGAATTAAAACTTTAAAATATATGCATATTCTAGATATTATTGCCTAATATATTTTGCCAACATTTTAATTTTTTTTTTTAAATTAATATCCTTTTCCGAAAATTATAAGGGGGTGCTGTAATCACCTTAATACAAAAAAATTTAGCCCAAATAAATTTATTTTTGTAAATGTTTTATATTTTTAATTTTTGTGTTTCACCAAACAGACTTTTATAAAAGAAGGAACCCATAATAAAACCAAAGCCTATAAAACTTTGAACCTATTTATTAAATATTTAAAAGTACAGACAATAGTTTTTAATTTAAGAATAACAAATACTTAATTCATTTATTTTAACAAATAGGAATGTTTTGCCAAAAAGATAACCTCGTGTCTGACAGTGGACTCAAATTTTTTATTATTGACTCTTTTTTTCGGCGCTTATTCCACACGGCGTATTGCGAAAATTTGGCCGCATAAGATTAGGATTTCTTTTAAACCCTTCTTGCAAAATATCAACTTCTGTAAACGTACTATTTTCCAAAGTTCTGTATTCGAACGAATGAAAGTTTCCCTTTGGTAAATATTATTTCGGAAACGTCTCGTAAATAAGGCTTTAATCTATTTATCTTTGTAATCGAAGAACAGTTTTTCCAATTCACCATTTCATTAATGCTAAGGCTTTTAACTGTTACGTGGACTTTATATGCGCTTTGTACTGCAGAAATACTCAATGCTAAGCAACAGTCACGTAAACGCGCGCCTACTAAGTAAAAACTACGTATGCGAGTTATATTAGAATATTCCCTTAATCACCTAAAATATAATCATATATTGTAAACAAGATAATGTTACCTTTTTCCTTTCATATAAATAGTTAAACATGTACTAGATTATTCATTATTCGTTTAGACTCGATACTTGTTCTTTGTATTAGAATACGTTCTCAAAACCTAGCATTGTAAAGTTCACAAAAGTTAATAAAGTTTCAATTTTTAAAAAATAAGTTTTCGCTTCCAAAGTTAAAACTTGCGCTTCGTTTTTACGCGGGTATTTCTTAGTATTTAGTAAATACGTGGTTTTTATTTAGTACGACATTTCAATGAGGTGCAAATACGTGAAAATAACAAAGCGAATTTATTACTTCCACAGCAATATACGCGATTTTTTCTTCGTCAACATGTTCAGAAAGCTATTTTAAAACATATGAAATAAATATCTCAATTTTGGAAAAAATGTCGAATACGTGTTTTTTTCTTATGGCGGCAGTATGATATAGCTGGAAAAAGGGCGCGCCCGGCCGACGTTTCGAAATTCGCGCAATGTCGGCCGGGCGCTCTCTTCGTTCGTTTTCCTCTGTAATGGTTAAGAGGTGGGTGGGAGGAGCGTAGCGTGAACTTATGATGTAGGTGGAAAAAAGGCGCGCCCGCATGACGTTTCGAAATTCGCGCGCAAAAGGTCGGCTCTCAACTGTACTTGTTAGGAGGTGGGTGGGAGAAGCTTAGCGTGATCTTATGGAGAAAATGTTGCCATGGAAACGCTTGTCATGCTAACGACTAAACAATTCCTTAGTGAGAAAATGCTTAGTTGCCAAGTCATAGATGGTTTCATTTTCACTTTAGTTTAGATTAGGATATATGTTTAGAGTTAAAATAAATATAAGAGGCAACTGCGCATTTCCTCACCACCGGATTTAGGTTTTTGTTTAGTCAACATCACGACAAGTGTTCTTTTGGCAACGAGTTCTCCGTAACCGATTTCAGCTAAACTCAAGTGAAAATTAAACGATCTGTGACTTGCCAACTATGCATTTCCTTACCACGGATTTTGTTTAATCGTTACCATGACAAGTGCTTCTATGGCAACAGTTTCTCCGTAACTGATTACAGCTAAATTAAATCATCTGTAACTTGGCAACCACGCATTTCCTCACCACGGGATTTTGTTTTTTGTTTAGTCGTTACTATGTCAAGCGTTCCCATGGCAACAGTTTCCCCATAACTGATTTCGTCTAAACTAAAGTGAACAATAAATGATCTATAACTTGGCAACTATGCATTTCCTCACCACGAGATTTGGCAATAATTTTTACGTAACTGATTTCGGCTAAACGAAATTTAACCCGGATGAAATGATTTTTTTTTTAGTTGTGACTTTCTTGAGATTAATAAAGAAACCTTTTTATGACATAAACTCTGACAAACGCAAATTCTCAAAAATTTATAAACAACTAAAATTACATGAAATGACAAAAATTTCATATTATACAAAAAAAATCAAAATAAATTATCCAACAAAATAAAACTTATAATATAGGATGAGCCCATTGCAAAATTTAGGCTGCTGCGATTTTGTGAGCGCGCGAGTTTCGGTCAAAGTTAGAGGGTCGCGTTTTCAAGTATTTTTTGAATATTTAATTTTCTGTTATTTTTATAAATATATAGTTTGTGATAGGCTTCTGGTTTCACCTACAGTGAATCAGAAAGTATGTGTCGCGCTAAGCTGGTGAATGCAGAATAAAGGATGCTCGGGCGCCAGTTTTGGTAATACAGTTTACTCTGCAACCCTGTAATATACCAAATTGTACTCAAGATAAACTCAGTGGAATTAAAAGTACCTTCAGGCGGTCACTGCTAACGAGGTAGCCACTAAATTAAGATTAAAGACACTTATCTCCCTTATATCTCGTACCCTACGGCAGAGGCGGCTCGTGATAATACGAGATGGTAGTCAGGGCCGCCGAGAGCCAGGTCGGGCCCTTGGGACAATCTTATAAAAAATATTAAGCTTTTTCAATATCACATTTCAAAAAAAGTCCTCTTTCTGGTGCTCTTGTGGCGAACTTCGTCATCTAAAGCTGCCGGGCCCCGGGAATTTGTCCCGGCTGTCCCCCCTCTTGTCGCCCCTGATGGTAGTGCCAGATTTTTAACAAATGTGAACACCCCGCCGGAGGTGGAAAATTTTTTGGGGTGCCACGCTCAAATTTTTTTCCCAAGAGTCGTTAAAAAAACTGGCTTTGGGCAAAAGTTTATCACGGTCAAAATAGATATAAAATTTTAATTAAAAAATAAATGAAGGACGGATACTTTTATATCTATTATATGACTACTATTTATGGGGTTTCTAACACAAGTTTTGCCAAGAAACAGGCCGTCAGGGTTAGTCTTATCCCAAACTTTGCCAATAAATTACTCAAAACTTATCAAAGAACTCGGTAAAAGTAATTAAAAATTATAAATTAACTTATTCCCAGTAATTAATGCTGCAGTTTGTTATTACCATAGTCTTTAGGTCCATATACCAAAAAATCACAAAAATAAAACTATACCTGTTTACAGTATTCATACACGCGCACAAAGTTGCTTGATATACTAGTTTTAAAGTTTCCGATAAATAAAGTCCATTCTTTTTTCTTTTTTGGTTGCAAAGTTATCAATTACTTTATTATTAAAATTTTTAATTCCATTTACAAAATGTTTTTCTGCGGACAACATACCTAAAGCACTAAGTCTTTCTTCCTTCATTGTATTTCTGAGGAATATTTTAATCCGTTTAATCATTGAAAAACAGCGCTCTGCTTCAGATGTTGACATACGTATTGTTATCAAATACCTAAAAGTTTAAGAGTTTTCTAAAATGTACAATTTAAACCTTCCACATTTAATAAAATTGACAGTGGACAGCTCAGGAGGTGGTAATTAATTTGTCTCTCTGATACAGTACTTGTAATTAATTTTTAAGCATATTTTTGTCTAAACATGAAAATTGTATACATGTTTCATTGAGGAATGATTCGGGAAACGGATGCCTATAGGCCGAAAAATTCTGCGACATAAATAAATTAGAAGCGACCAAATGCCCAGAGAAGTTGAACCTTGTTTTTATTTGCAATAAAATGGCATCGCATATTTCTAAGGCTTCGCGTTTTCTGCTGTTCTCTTCAATTCGTGCCTTTTTTCTTATTGGTTCACCAGTTCACCAGTATTAAAAAAGTTGCAAAATAACGGTGTAAATTCGGTAGCATTAAATTTAATTAGGGAGTATTTGTCTAATAGGTATCATAAGACTAAAATAGGAAATAATATATCTAGTGAAACAGAAAGCCACTACGGGATACCGCAAGGAAGTGTGTTGGGTCCACTTTTATTTATTATTTATGTAAATGACATTCATAAACGATTAAAAAGATCATTTATTAGCCTTTTCGCGGACGACACGCTCATTTCAGTATCTGGTAGAGATTTTCAGGAAATAATTCAAATATTAAATGAAGAATTGTCTATTTTGTATGAACTGGCTGTGTGTAAATAAGCTTAAATTAAATACTGCAAAAACAAAATATATGATCCTAGGATCAAAAGCACAATGCAGACAACTTAATGCGCATGATCAAGTAGTAGAAATAGGTGGTGAACCATGAACAAGTACTGGAAATAAAATATTTAGGAGTCATTATTGACCAACAATTAACTTTTAATAATCATGCCAATTACTTATGTAAAAAATTAGGTAAAAAAATTGGTTTTTTTAGAAGGATTTCATGTAACTTGTCGCAATGGTCAAAATCTCTGATTTATAATACAATAATACGCCCACATTTTAATTATTGTAATGAATTACTATTATCAGCTACTAAAGAAAACATCAACAGATTGCAACTGTTACAAAATAAATGTTTAACGATAATATTAAATTGTAATATTTACACTTCGGTCAGGGAAATGCATGAACAGCTGAATGTCTATACAGTTGAGCAAAGCATTAAAATGTCGAATTTAATACTAATATATAAGATGATACATCACAAAACTCCGAAATACCTTAGTACACTACTTGTAAAAAGATCTGAACTTCATTTACGTCCACTCAGATCAATAGACAATTTTAATATTGATTTCACAAAAAAATCTTTTTTGATGGGCTCATTATTGCAGGAAGGGATTCGTCTTTTTAATGCGTTGCCTAAAAATATAAAAGATGCCCCAACTCTAGGTAGTTTTAAAAATATGATTAGTAATTATCTAGGTTTAGGTAACCTATAGTTTTAAGTTTAAATTGTAAATATTTGTTTATAACTAGCTGAAAGCTAAATAAAGAATTTACTTACTTACAGTTTCTCCTTGCGACGTGTTTATTTCTCCTTGAATATTGTCAATAATGCTGTCCATTTGCTCCCGTGTACCTTGAATTGCTGCTTCGAAATTCTCAAAATCTTTCTTGAATTTAACAGAATCTGTGCATACTTTTTGTAATTGGTTAAAAATAATTTCCACGTGAGGCATTATTTGATGAAAAATACTTAACCAAAATATAAAATTTTTATCCTGAAGTTTTAATTTGTACCCACTTGCTTGATTAATAGACGAATCGCGTGAAGTACTTTCCACAACTGTAATGAGGTCTTTTCTATTCTCATAAACAGTATGAACACCTCGCGATTGAAAATTCCAACGTGTTTGGGAAGATCTTGGCAACCTGCGATTAACTACCTCATCCAAAATTTTTGTTCTTTGAGGAGACGTGGAAAAGAAAGAGCACAAACCATATAAATTAGAAAGAAATATTCTAGCCTGCTTATTGACAGAACATGCACTTGTCATAACTAAATTCATCTGGTGTGCATGGCAATGAACATAATTTGCAAGAGGATATGTTTGTTTCATAATTTTTTGCACACCATTTAATCCACCACTCATTACAGACGTGCCGTTATAGCTTTGAGCAATTAATTTATTTGGACTATGTTTTAATAATGGATGTAAAACATTTAAAATGCATTCAGCAATTGATTTGACGTCGTGTCCATCGAGCATATAAAACCTCTAAAATCTCTCAACTGGTCGTCCTTTACACAAATATCTGAAAACTATAACTAATTGAAATTCACAAGCAACGTCAGTCGTTTAATCGGCAATCACTGCAACAAAACGATAATTTTCTATTTATTTCCTAACTTCTTCGTGATAAACATTTAACATGCACTCAAAAAGTTTATTTTGGGTTGTTTTTGAGGTACCTTTGAAAGCTTTTGAACTTTGAATATGATCCTTTATGTCTCTATTTTCCGAATTATCTTTCTTATCGTGACCCCTTAAAGCTAACTCAGAAGCTCCATAAAACCTTATACAATTTATAATTTGATTTAAAACATATCGATTCTTATCCACTTGTTGATTATGTTTAATTAGAGCATCACGATAAGCCGAATTTTACTGGGTTTTTATATTTATCTCACCAAGCATGGAAAAACTAAAAACATTATTCATGTGCACTTTAGATTTTTCATGGGATTTCATTTTATATGGACAAGATCGTCTGTGCCTTTTTTTGACCAAGTCTCGTCACCTTCAAACAAAACACATACAAAACAAAACAGTTTATTAGTTTCTTTGCAACCACACAACTAATTTTTATCATAAATAGTTTTAATAAATTTACAACAACGCGATTTTTGCCCACTTTCACTTTGTTTTTCAATTTTTAAATAGGGAATTGGCCGGCATAATTCTTTAATTTGTAGTTTTTTTTTTCTAGCGAAAAACCACTAAAAAAGTTTTTTAAGACGCCAATTTTATTCATTGTCACAATAAATTAAAAACTAATAAATAAGATATTTAAACAAGTTTATCGAAAACAAAAAGACACATAGGTATTAAAGTTACACTTCGTAACGTAACGAAAAACTTAAAAGCGCGTAAATAAATTCGGTTAAGTCAGTCAACAATCGACATTATCGAGAAACCGCGATTATTTTAACCGCTATCGGCGCTGTGCCTGGCACGAACATTCCTTGATTTTACCATTTAAATACATGTAAAATGTCCCCATTTCTGTTGCTCACATAGACTGCTGGTAAAATCTCTATCTCCCCTAGTGCCAGCTGAGAAATGGCTCCGGTTGTTTGGAGATTTATGTAACGCAAGGTTGCCACAATTCAAATAATTTTTGAATATAAAAAAAAATGCATAAAATAAAATAAAAATATGATAAGACGCTTTAAAAATAAAAAAATATATTTTTGCATCAAAAATAAGATAGTGCCATGGCACAATGGCACTACCTCACGAGCCTTAACGAGGTTAGGTCTCAACTTGAGACCTAACCTCCTGCGCAAATTAATTTAATTGACACTAGAAACTGAATCTCTGTTACCTATAATTCTTCATATAACTAATTGAGGAAAGGTATATTTTTGAAAGGGTTAATAATGTTAAAAACGTTCTACAGATTTCTAATATTTTTGTGAAATAATAAATGATAATCATCCGATAACTCTTTATAATTTACAAAAGTCTGAATGTTCAATAAATTATTTTAAGCATCTACCAATTTATTTTCCGCCATATACAGCGTTTAACTCGCTTACTGCTTTTTAGCCTCAAATAGCTACACCTCGTTTGGGTAGAGCACAACCGCCATTACGAAGACGAACTGTAGCACTCGAAGATAGTTATGATGCGGATGATGAAGTAGAATTAGCTTTAACTAATTTAGAAGTCGACATCCACTCCAATCCCGAAGAAAATGTTAATGACATAGAGCTAAACAAACTTACAAAGTCTAATGAAAATAACGCAAATAAAAGTGAAGTTGCTGAAGACAGATCTTTTTTTAAACAAACAGTACATGGTCTTCTAACACATCCATCTGAACCTGATATGCGAATCATTCATCATTCGGCCGTTTCAGAAAGTATAATAAGAATATCACGTTTAAACATATTCAGTAAATCACTAAGACCAGCAGATGCAGGCGCGTTAAATAAATTAATAAAAGAAGCACGTTCAATGACATCCAATAAACTAATAAAAGAAGCACGTTCAAGCACTTCCAATAAACTAATAAAAGAACCACGTTCAAGCACATCCAATAAACTAATAAAAGAAGCACGTTCAAACACATCCAATAAACTAATAAAAGAAGCACGTTCAAACACATCCAATAAACTAATAAAAGAACCACGTTCAAGTACATCCAATAAACAAATAAAAGAAGCACGTTCAAGCACATCCAATAAACTAACAAGAGAAGCACAGACAAACCAACAAATTAAGAACACTGAAGAGGAATTATTTTTTTTGAAAAAACTTTTAGCTTCTTACATATTAAAAGAACAAATGCGTCCGTTAGGTATTCAAGATTTTTCGCGATATACGCCGTATGAGAAAGGTAAAGATAGTGCTGCAAGGCTGCAAGATGCCAGTTATATGAATGAAAAAGGTAAAGCTCGCGCTTCAGGGCTACAAGATGCCGATTTTATGATTGAAAAAGGTAAAGATTATACCGCAGAACTGCAAGATGCCGATTATATGGTTGAAAAGGGTAAAGCTCGTACCTCAGGGCTGCAAGATGCCGATTATATAATTGGAAAAGGTAAAGCTCGTGCTTCAGGCCTACAAAATGCCGATTATATGATTGAAAATACTGGTATTTCTGAAAAAAAATCACAAAGAAAATTAAAAACATCTATTAATAAGCCTGGTATCCCCCTTAATAAAACAGGCAGAAGGGTTTCAAGTAAACTTTACAAGTGATCGGAAAGGCTCCACTTGGCGTCAGTCTAATTCAAACGATCGACGTAGTTTAAACAGTCATTTAATCAAACTGATCAGTAAAAAACCTGCTAATATTCCTCGGAAAGCCGTTGCAATGAAAAAACAAAATATTCCGAATAAATCGACGACAAAACAGTCCTATAGCTTACCAATTTCATATCAATCGAGCCCTGGGTCCATGCAATCTTATAATTATAAGTTAGTACCAGTTCCACAATATCCTTTATCAAATCAACCGGATCGCCAAATATATTTGGCAAACAAAACTAATAAGTCTATACCCAATCGGCAGATGACATCCTATGCAAGACAGCCTCATAAAACAATACCAGGGCAACGCATGCCTTTATCAAATAGATCTACTAGTAGGTCAGTAGCCAATCAACAGATGGTATATGCCAAAAAACCTCAAAGGACAATCCCAGCGCAACATAGACCTTCGTCAAATATATCTAAATTATTGGAGCCACAAGTGTTAAGTGTATCCCATAGTGTTACTAACGTAACTAGTAAAGAGCTGTTCAAACATCCATCAACTAGATTAACCTCCGAGACTCAAACATTGCCGCAAAACAATGAATCAATGTTTACACAAACTCAACCCTTGAGTCTAAGGATTACTAAAATACAAACGCAAGAAAGTAAACAACAATTAAAGCAATTAATTCCAGTTTTATCAAAAACTAGAATAAACCAAATAACTCAGACGGAAAAAAGAAAAAGAAGAAAAGGTTCATTAAATATTATTATCAATAATGATATGTGTACATGTTCCCAAACTAAAATTTCAGATTCAAATATTTGTCATTGTGTAAGTTTTCCAAATAAGGTTAAGTTATATACATGGTGTCCCAAAATTTCTGGGACATAGAGCTACCACGTATGGTAGATGTCATTTTAAATTGGGTCCAATTGACTTATTTCGATTGGACCCAATTTATATGAGTGGCGCATCCTATACGCGTCGGTCACTGTAGGGAAAACGACTTAAAATTTAAATTTTTTTTCTTAATAGAGAAATACAGGACCATTAACACTACAAATTAAGAATAATTTGGATTATACAGGGTGGCCCAAAAACAGGAATTTATGTTTTTTTAAAGACAACACCTTATATTTGATAGTGTCTTTTGATTCCACGGAAAAAATAAAGCAAAGTTTCTGTAATGTATCCTATACCTATCTCTTTTCGTTTTTGAAACATTTAAAGGATTCTTAATTTGTAAGCTTGAACAACATAACCTAGTATGACGCGGTTATTTAAAACACATCAACAGTCACCTGCGATATACGTAGCCAAGATATTAGACTATCGAATAAATTGCAAATGTTTCCATTACATCATTTAGTCTAATTGAATTCGACTTACATATTGAATAATATTCCTATTTTAAATGTCACACCCTGTATTTAATAACAAACTGATAAACATTTAAATTATCTTTCATTTCATATAAGATTTCCCTATACCTAAATTCGATGGATCTTTATTTAGTAAATAGCTGTTTTTTTATTTTTAACATATGGTTTTTATCATATTATTTTTTAATCATAGTAACCATAGAGCAAATATCACTCAAAATATGGTATTGAACGAAAAAAACATTTAATGACAAGAAAATTTGAATTACTTGAAAACTACACACAAATGAAAAAGAGTAAGAAACAAATTGAAAACAAAACAAAAAATGAATTATAAAAAATGTTCAAAGTGACGCCCATCTTGTTCTAAACACAACTGAACTCGGCTTTTCAAAGGATCGCTTCACTTTGAGAAGAATTTCTCCAGTTACTGTCTGAAAAGCAGCTCTTATTCTAGCTTTCATATCTTTCGAAGTAGTTGGTGGGGTGTTATAAACTATACTTTCTATGTGTCCCCATAAAAAAATCCAACGACGTCAAGTCTGGAGATCTTGGAGGTCAATTATGTGAATCACCTCTTCCGATCCATTTGTTAACAAAACGCCGGTTTAAGTATCGCCGTACTCGAAGTTGAAAATGTGTGGGGGCTCCATCCAACTGCATCCACATTTTCTGCCTAGTATTTAAAGGTACATTATCAAGGAGCACATATAATTTTCTCCGCAAAAATTTAGGAAATTTTCTGCCATTAAGATGACCGGTAAAAAAATAAGGACCAATAACATGTAAACCTAATATTCCTCCCCTCACATTTAAGGACCACCTAAGCTGATGATCGAGAGTACGAAAGACGTGAGGATTTTCATCACTATAATAATGAAAGACGATTAACGAGCCCATTATTATGAAACGTGCACAGAACATTATAAAAAAAATCCGCATCTGATTCTACTTTATCCAGTTTAAGTTATTAAATACAGGGTGTGCCATTTAAAATAAGAATATTATTTCCAACTTACCAGCTAGATTGAATTTCTGTTGCACGCAATATATGTTTTAATTATATATTATTAAATACTTATAATTTAAAATATTTTTAATAACAGGGTGATTCACAAATGCAAAATCTCACTAATTCTACTGTGACGTCAGAGAACAGAGAAGTATATTTTCAAAAAGTAATACTTAATATGCTATTTTGGTGACAAAATATTGCACACTACACTTTTTTTATAGTGAGAACCACAACAAAATTATTTATTAAGGATTAATTTAAAACCCTGTACTTGTAAATTGGTTTTTAAGAAAGGTAATACCACTAAAATATGTGTACCTCTAAACTTCAAAATTTACATGGAGGCTTATTTGTTGGAAGATATTCAATTTTAATAAAAGTACAAAAACCACCATTTTAAATTTTCCCAGGTCAAATGTAACCATTTTCTCAGTATATAATAATTTTAACACCGTTTTAACAGGCATGAATTTTAAATCGGGTACTACGACTGAAAAGCTAGATTGTCTTTATCATATAATGGGTGTTTCCGAACTTGGCGTCCAAATTTGTAGGGGTGGTAGTTCGCATAATTTGAGAGCGATTGGCAGATTTCATTTTTCTAAAAAAATTATAATAAACAAAATAGAGCCATTATAAAAAAAAATCAAAGAGCAGGTCCTGCCCTGAGCGCGTAGCGCAATAGTCCTCAAAAACAGATGCGATTTGCAATTTTGTCGATTCTAAGCGTAGCGCGCGCGAGTCGAGGCGATCTTATGGCTGTGCAGGACCGTACCTGTTTATAATTTTTAATTAATAGTTAATTATTTTTATTTTAAATATTTTGGAAAAATGAAATCTGCGAATCGGTCTCAAATTATGCGAACTACCACCCCTACAAATTTGGACGCCAAGTTCGGAAACACCTTGTATATATAAATATATAAATGCGAAAGTTTGGATGGATGGATGTTTGTTGCTCAATCACGCAAGAACGGCCTAACGGATCTGGATGAAATTTGGCACAAATATAGATTGTAGACTGGAATAGCACATAGCCTACTTCTTATCCTAAAAAAATGTACGGTTCCCGTGGGATCGATGTGTTTTTGTTTTTCACAGAGCAAGGGAACGGACATAATTTTTTGCATAGTGGTAGTGAAACATGAAAATTTGAAATACTGCTACTGAGCATAATTAAATAATGACATGTTTCAGGGTTTTTGGTTTTTCACATTTTAAGGGGTGGGAAACGGGGGTTAAAAGTTTGCATGAAAGCATCGATTTTTTATAGGTAGGAACTTGAAAATTGGAATTATAGCTACTCATCACAAATAAATAATGGTGTGTTTCAGGTTTTTGGATTTTGGATAAATAAAAATACCTACATAAAGATATTTAAAAAAAAAATAAATAAAAATAAATAAAAAATACTTGAAGAAGTTGAGTGTTGTGTACACAGTGGGTAATAAGAAATGAATCGAGAGATATTTAAAAAAAATAAATAAATATAAATGAAAAATAAATAAAAATAAACAAAAATAAAAATATATAAAAATAAATAAAAATAAATAAAAATAAATAAAAATAAATAAAAATAAATAAAAATAAATAAAAATAAATAAAAATAAATAAAAATAAATAAAAATAAATAAAAATAAATAAAAATAAATAAAAATAAATAAAAATAGATAAAAATAAATAAAAATAGATACAAATAAATAAAAAAATAAATAAAAAGTATTTACACACTTTAAATACTCTCGATTCATTTCTTATTACCCAGTGTGTACACACCACTCAACTTCTTCAAGTATTTGTTTTTATTTATTTATTTATTTATTTTATTTATTTATCTTTATTTGTTTTTATTTATTTTTATTTATTTTTATATGCTTTTATTTATTTTTATTTATTTATTTACTTTTACTATTTGTTTCCTCCCTTAATATGTAAAATCCAAATACTTTGAAACATGTCTTTATTTATGAAGAGTATCTACAATTCCAATTTTCAAGTTCCTACCATACAAACTTTCACTCCCCACACATTTCCCCATTCCTCCCATTTCCCCAATTTCTCCCATTTTCCTTCTTTTCTTCATTTCCTCTTTCCCCTCTTAAAATATGAAAATCCAAAAACCTGAAACACACCATTATTTATTTGTGATGAGTAGCTATAATTCCAATTTTCAAGTTCCTACCTATAAAAAATCGATGCTTCAATGCAAACTTTTAACCCCCGTTTCCCCCCTTAAAATGTTAAAAACCAAAAACCCTGAAACATGTCATTATTTAATTATGCTCAGTAGCAGTATTTCAAATTTTCATGTTTCAGTAGCACTATGCCAAAAATTATGTCCGTTCCCTTGCTCTGTGAAAAACAAAAACACATCGATCCCACGGGAACCGTACATTTTTTTGGGATAAAAAGTAGGCTATGTGCTATTCCAGTCTACAATCTATATTTGTGCCAAATTTCATCTAGATCCGTTTGGCCGTTCTTGCGTGATTGAGCAACAAACATCCATCCATCCAAATTTTCGCATTTATATATTTATATATACAGGGTGTTTCCGAACTTGGCTTCCAAATTTGTAGGGGTGGTAGTTCGCATAATTTGAGACCGATTTGCAGATTTCATTTTTCCAAAATATTTAAAATAAAAATAATTAAAAAAATTATAAACAGGTACGGTCCTGCACAGCGATAGGAACGCCTCGACTCGCGCGCGCTACGCTTAGAATCGACAAAATTGCAAATCGCATCTGTTTTTGAGGACTATTGCGCTACGCGCTCAGGGCAGGACCTGCTCTTTGATTTTTTTTTATAATGGCTCTATTTTGTTTATTATAATTTTTTTAGAAAAATGAAATCTGCCAATCGCTCTCAAATTATGCGAACTACCACCTCTACAAATTTGGACGCCAAGTTCGGAAACACCCTGTATATGATAAAGAAAAATCTAGCTTTTCAGTCGTAGTACCCGATTTAAAATTTATACCTCTTAAAACGGTGTTAAAATTATTATATACTGAGAAAATAGTTACATTTGATCTGGGAAAATTTAGAATGGTGGTTTTTGTACTTTTATTAAAATTGAATATCTTCCAACAAATAAGCCTCCTTGTAAATTTTGAAGTTTAG